CCAAAATAAATCTTATCTTAGCAAGTACTAGCCCCGTTCACCCGCCCTCTATTTTCTTAAATGTCATTTGGCCGAATGCTAGTACATATTTGCTAAGATAAGACCGCATGCAAACGATATACCTTCTAGGATAAGAGGGTGGGTGGGTGGGCGGGGTAGTGCTTGTTAAGGTAAGATTTATTTTGGCAAGTCACATATCCTTTGAGAAAATAGGGGGCGGGTGGGCGGGGCTAGTATTTGTTAAGATAAGACTTACTTTGGCAAATAATATACCCTCTGAGAAAATAGGGGTGGGTGGGCGGGGCTAGGACTTGTTAAGATAAAATTTATTTTGGCACGACACATATCCTCTGAGAAAAAAAGGGTGGGTGGGCGGGCCTAGTACTTGCTAAGATAAAACTGATTTTGGCAGATGCCATACGCCCTAAGAAAACAGGGGTGGGTGGGTGGGGCTAGTCCTTGCTAAGATAAGACTAATTTTGGCAAATGACATATCCTCTGAGAAAATAGGAGGCAAATCTAAAAAATATGAATCCAATGATAAATCACAACATTCATCATATTTTGCACGTTTTGGGTAGAATTTATTCGGCAAAATTTGGAGATGACGTCATCAATTTTTTGGGGGAATAAACAGATATTTTTTGGTTATATGTATGCGTACAATAACTTTAAAACATTTGTAAGATTTTAAAGTATTCAGTTTTGCAATTCTTGATTTAATCAGTATAATATATTGTTACGAAATAAACCCATACGCCGCCCAGGTACGACGTCTATGGGTCTTCTAGTAGGTGTGCGTTTCTTCAAGTGTGTAAAATGACTCATCGATGACAGCGGCCGGCGCTCGCTCGAGAAAGGCCTGGAAACGGAAGTCGCGATGGATTCTAGAAAGACCTGGATGACGAAACTCCTAGAGGAGCGTCTGGCTTTAAATAGAGGCCACCGTCGGGAACGGGATTATTCAGTCAAGAAATCGAGTGAGCGAAATCATTTGAGTTACGCCACGAAGTTATTTTGCTCATAATCGCTGTACTAGTTAATCGTGTAATTCCAGTTATTAAGAAATAAATTGTTGAGTTTTACCTCCGCCGATTTTATTCGCCCGTTCAACGTAACAATATACACTTGCGAGCATTGAAATCGGCCCACAAATCGGGTCACTATTCACATCTGACTTTGAATCAAATTTTCCACCGAACTATATTACACTTAAAGAAACTAAAAAAGCCATTAGAAAGACTAGATGTTTGACTTTAAAATAGAGTTACGAAAAACTTCATGAAATTGTTTTGCAATATTCTTTTTTGGGCAAAAAAGAAAATTGTTCAATAACGAAATTTTTCATGTTAACAAAATCAATAATTTAAAGAAGAAAATTATGTTAATATTCGGTGTTGCCACCCCTAGCTCTAATACGCTCGCATTCCACTATTCATGGACTCAATTAAGCTGACGACAACTTGGCCCATTCTTCTTCAATGGTTATTCTGAGCTCTTGGAGTTACCCAAGAACCGGGATCCTATCTCCAATTCTTCGTTTAAGTTCATCCCACAGATGTTCTATAGGATTCATATAGATACAGATTAGATTTTGAATAATTTTCATTCAAAGTCAGATTTTAGTGCTGGCAACTTTATATTAATATTGTAGGTAAGCGAAGAAAAATGTTGCCTCTCCGGTGGGAATCGAACCACACGTATACCGCTTGCCTGGGCGAGTGCCCTTACCTTAGACTACGGAAGAGCTGATCTTTCTCCGCTTACCAACGTGTTATGGTGCGGCCACAATGTATATTAGGGAGGATGAGCAAATACATTTTGATCAAAAATTTACCATGTTAAAAACATTTCCAAGACTTCAAAGCATTCGGTTTTTCAGTTTCTGATTAAGTCAATAAAATAAATTCACACATTCATTAATTTTTTTGAGTTTTCGCAAGATTAATATGGGCAAAATCAGTTTTATCTCAACAAATACTCGGCCCGCCCACCCGCCCCCTATTTTCTCAGAGGATATGTCAATTGCCAAAATAAGACTTATGCTAGCAAGTACTAGCCCCGCCCACCCGTTCTTTATTTCCTCAGAGAGTAGTACTAGAAAATAGGGAGCGGGTGGGCGGAGCTAGTGCTTGGTAAGATAAGGCTGTTTTTGGCAAATGACATATCCTCTGAGAAAATAGGGGGCGGGTGGGCGGGGCTAGTGCTTTGTAAGATAAGTCTTATTTCGACAAATGACATATCCTCTGAGAAACTTGGGGTGGGTGGGCGGGGCTAGCACTTACTCAGATAGGACTGATTTTAGCAAACGCCTTACCGTCTGAGAAAATAGAGGGCGGGTGGGCGGGGCTAGTACTTCCTAAGATAAGATTGATTTTGCCCCAATTAAACTTGTAAAATCTGGTTAAATTTAAAAGGTGTTAAATTGCATGTTTCCATAGTAACGAGTTAAATTGCTAAATCTGATTGGATATTTACTTTTTAACAACTCAGTCATTAATTTTTTTGGGATACCCTGTATAAGCAAATTCAAAAAATATTAATTACATAATAAAAACAAATTGCAAGTATAGACTCATCATATTTTGCATATTTAAGACAGGGTACAGTCAGCAATTTGAGGTAACGTCATCAGTTTTTTAGGGGGGATGGGCAAATACATTTTGATCAAAAATTTACCATGCTTATGATAACTCTAAAACATCCATGATTTCAAAGGATTTGGTTTTTCAGTTCCTGATTAAATCAATAAAATAAATTGACGCATTCATTGATTTTTTTATTTTTTTTTGAGTCACCGTGTTTAAGCAAATATAAAAGATACGAAGTTTGTGATGATATTTGGCACATTTTAGATAGGATTTATCTGGCTAAATTTTGAGATGATGTCATCAATTTTCTAGAGGGGATAAGCAAATATATTTTGATTAAAAATTAATTATGCTTACCATAAAGTTAAAACATCTGCAAGATTTCAAAGCATTGAGTTTGGCAGATTCAAAATTGAATTACAAAATGTAGTTTTATAATTTTGATTTTTTTTCAAAAATCTGGACGTTTTGGGTAAAAACTCAACACGGAGTCATAAACTATACAAATTTCATTCGAGATACACTCACATAAAACTTTATGACAGATAATTAGTGAAACCCCTGCACAATGGCAACAGTAATTTATTGCTTTTAACACCCTATGCGACCAGATATCGACACGTTCCGGCAGAATTTTTCAGGGCCGTACTCTGTTAAAAAATAAGGTGAAATAATAGACAAATTGTATTAGTTAAATAATATTTATATGATTATAAGTCACTATAACGACCGACAAGTAAGACGTGCAATCAGTTATTGGAATGAAAACCAATTCAAATCTACCCAAAGTACTTTGGGAATTTGAGTAAACAATTTCATTACCGAAAGCAGGTAAAACTTTCAAGTCAACCCGAATACGGCTCTGTATAAAATGACCTGTCAAAGCCTTTTCATAATTTATGGTTGCGATTTCAGGAGCACCGCTTTTTGAGTGATTGGTGCCATAAAAATTTATGTGGGTGTCTCGAATACGGTTACTATACATGTATAGGACTAGGTTATTCTATACAATTTAGAACCCATTTTCTATGTATAATTTTGAAATGACGTCATCACTTTATTGGTGGCGATGATTACACAAATTTTGGTTGGCGTTTTGCCATCTACGTGATATTCCTAATATCAATACAAAATTTGACAACAATCGGCCCAGTACTTTCGAAGATTATCTGTCTAATAATAAAAATCCGGGACGACAGACAGACGGACACAGGTAGACAGACAGACAGACGGCAAACAGACAGACAGGTAAACGGGAGACCTATTGTTTCTTACTAAGTTTACACTGTAAAAAGATGCTCTTATTTAATATTTACATAGTTTTTTGGGAAAATTTAATGCATTTATAAGTGTAAATAATTGTTTAAAAAAAAGAAGTACACTGTTTCATAATCCGACACTGATCTAAATTAACATTTTGGCACAAAAATGACTAAAACCTCTCAGTAATCATGATCTTACAGACTTACAAAACACAATGCCAGCAAAATTATATCTTGTTTAACAATAAAAGCTTAAAATTATATACAGCATTATCTATTGCAGCCGTATAAACATAGTCATTTATCTAAAAATCTATCTTTATTCACTCGTACCGCAAATAACTATGAAAACAATGATTCAGTTTCGCAACTTTTCGAGATAAACTCCGAACTTTAGTATTCGAATTCGGTACTTTTCGTTGTCTGATAAAGTAAAATCTGATCGGAGGAAATTAACCCACGTTGTTGACATTATCGAAACAATAAAATTATGAAATCCTCGAGTATTTTCGACCGGTTCGTAATCGCATCGAGCATCTGTACAAATTAAAAACCAACAAAACTCGGTTTTGTCCGAAAATCCCACCGAAAAGTAAATCCCGCATTCGCATTCCAAGAATCGAATCGCTTCCAACATCCGGTCAATCGTCGATATTTCAGCATTTAAACAAAGCGAATTTTCCGGCCGACCATTCGTACCCGCTGACGTCAATAACCCATTGACGAAAAGCCTGCAGCCTCAACGTTTCGTCCGACCACAATCCAACAAATACTTTTGTCTTGTAGCCGGCAATTTAACAAAGTGGTTCGTCCTTCCACCGCACCAATTAAATCTATTTCTGCAGCGCTTCTTTGTCTCATGAATACCCAAAAAGCCCGGACAATTCCCTTCGCCGAAACACGAGCTAATGGCTCCATCGCATTATTCACCCAATTTACAAGCCCCTTGCCCCAGCATGTGACAAGCAAGGCCGCCGCAATCAATACCAACTTTCATTTTTCGCTGTCGGGCGGCCGTCTTAATTAAGCCGACGCACCCCCGTCCCGCGTTATCAGATAACGCGGTTTACCCAGCCCGGAGGAAATTGTGTCATTACGGCCTCAATATTGAATCTGCGATAAGTGATAATTAAGGTCGAGAACTCACCCGGGCTCCTTTTGTTCATAATCGTAGAGGGCTTTGGCGTAGGGCCGGTGCGCCACCATCTGCGAGCTCTGCTTGTTGTTGGGCTTGCGGTCGGGGGTGCCGTGCTGCTGGTGCACGGGGGCGGCGTGGTGCACGTTGGCGGCCTGCACGGCGCGCACCGCCCGCTGCTGCTTCTTGGGGACGGCGTTCTTGATGCCCTCGAGGATGCGCATCAGCAGCACGTTGGGGGGCAGCTCCTCCACCTTGGCGCTGACGAGGATGCGGCACTCGGGGCAACGCAGCTCCTTGTGCTTCTGCACGATCTCCTGCAGGCACTTCCTGCAGAAGGTGTGCTGGCAGGGCAGCACCTTGCTGGAGGTGTCGAGGCGGTCGAGGCACACCGAGCACTCGAGGAGGTCGTTCAGTGTTCCCTCGTCCATGGCTCCGAAGCGACTGATAAGCGTTATCGACGACTGGACGCGAAAATGGCACGGTTAGACATTTCTGACACTTGCAGTGACTTTGTGCAGGACTTCCGGTTAACGCAGCGCTTGGGCGCGGTGGCGGTGACCCACACAGCACTCACGACAAGCTCCGACATGCATTCTTGCGCACTGGCCAACGCGGCGCGAGGGCGAACGAGTTTAATCCCCCCTGAATGATTTTTCGGAGGAATGACAGCGACAAGTGCGGCGGTGGGGGATTACGCGCGAGGGTTGGCACCACTGCGCGAAACCGAAAAAACGCTTATCGCGAGATATAAATCGCAAAGATTAGCGAACAATGCGATAATTGACGTTCTAGACAACAACGACTGATTATTCGCGCTGTGGAAGCGAGAAAATGGTGTCTGTCAACGATTGTGACGTACGGTTGGCTGCACTGCAGCGACAGAGCCGGACTCGACACACTTATCGCCCCGTCGCTCTCGTTACATCGGACACAAACTCGGGCTCCAATTTATATAAATACTTTATTGCAGTTCAACATTTAATATCAATAATTATACATATTCCCATACTGTATAATTAACATACATTTGAAGTATACATACATATTCTTTATCTTAATTATCTCTCAAGCACCACGTCTCTCAAGGCTTCTCCATTGGTCAACGATCGTTTCATCACATTCTGGATCAACATTTAAAAAAGTTTTAAAAAGGCACTTATCTACAGTATAAAATATACAATAATACAAATTATTTTTAATCATTAATGCCGGTATCATCACATGGCACCAACTTATTAAAAATGAAACAATATAAAAATGTGATGTTTTAACACATTAACACGTATAGTATTTACAATGACGTAACTCTATTTAGATTTCCGACAAACTTTTTACAACTATTTCCGAAACTGATTAGCGCTCTTCTGAACCCGTTCGGGGCGGAGGAATCTGAAAAATAAATCGCATTACTATCAAATCATAACAAAGACGTAAACACACAACGCTTTTACATTCGTCAGTCTAGGCAAACAGGAGCGGCGTTGTTTATGTTAGATATTTACAAAATATTTACACAAATTTACACGCTCCTTGCATCTACACACTCATACATGTTCAAAAGTTGCGAATAATTTTATTGCTTTTCCATTTAAATTTAGCTTTGTTGTTGATGCGTCTGTTGGGAAAGTAAAATAATTTCCTGTGCGTAAAAAATGCAAATTCACATTTTATCTTATTCTAATATTTATTTCCATTTATCATCTTATCAATATCACAATCTATCTGGAACATCAAAATACCGGATAGCATGAGTTAGGTGTTTACTTAAAAACAATCTGAGAGACAACATATTACGAACCTGGGATTTTGTATTAGTAATTTACAAACATTGAATTATTTAATTACTGCATTACACAACTTTGGATATTATTTTTTCATGGTGAAAAAATTCTAAAATTACGCAATGAAAAATTTTTTCTTTCTATGTTTGGAATAGTTATCAGTAGTGCCAACGTAATGTGGCAAAACATAACTTATCCCATGTCAATTGCAAACTTACCTCCATATCGGCTACAAACAGGTCACACGGACGTAAGCGTTGTAACCTTATTTGCATCAGCACTTCGTTGCTAAGCATAATTTATACTATCCTCAAACATATTTGGCGTTTATGACTTCACACCAATTTGACTCCCATTATAATTCAATAGGCCGTCACAACCGGATGTCTTAAACCCGCTCACCGATACCTACCTGAAAAGACCTTTTCGACGTGCCAGGGACGGTCGAGACGCGAAGGACCGGACTCAGAGTAATTTTGTTTGTTAAAATTTTCAAATTTCAAAATTTCCTTACAGAACATGATTTATACTTTGAAGAAAATTACACAAAGACACAATTATTAGATGTGTTACACACTCGAAAATTTGAGAAACAATATAAAATAGATGCTATGGCGCGAGATCGTGGATTTAGGGTGATTAGACTTCCGCCTTACCATTGTATATTTAACCCCATCGAACTAATCTGGTCGCAAATGAAAAATAACATAAGAAGGAATAATACGGCACCAAAATTTAGTAGTGCAACAATTGACATAATTAGGGAAGAAGCTTCCAAAATAACTGCCGAAATGTAGGCCAATTGTGTACGACATTCCACAAAAGAAGAAGACCAGTACAGGGCACGGTTGATAACACCGTTAATTATTAATTTAGAAGAGTCGAGTGATGATGACAGTGACTATTTCGATCAATAAATAAGCAGTAGTAGTTAATAAGTAAATAGTTGTGCGGTAATAAAAAATGATTGAGTACAAAGTTACTTTGTTTTAATTTAAAATAAAAAACTCGAAAGGCGCAGTTGTCGGTAAATGCAAAACTCAGTCCTGCCCTGTGCTTTTACCAGAAAAGGTCTTTACAGGTAGGTATCGGTGAGCGGGTTTGAGACATCCGGTTGTGACGGCCTATTGAATTATAATGGGAGTCAAATTGGTGTGAAGTCATAAACGCCAAATATGTTTTAGTATAGTATAACTGAATTTTCCTGAAAATGGCGATCATGCATAAGCAAATGCTTTATTTTTACATCATTGCAACAATACAACCACTTCAGATTGTCAATTATTATCATTACATTCTGATTTTCTTTTTTTACCAAAAAAGGAGACAAATCAATTCGACACCGATAAAAATTTACCTGCTTAAATAAAAATTCTTATCACGATCTGAACAAATAAACATTTATTGCATCCGACAGTTAATTTTATTCCGCAATCTTTATCAATTTCCACACGAACAATCAAACAAACAAGCATTCCCGTAACACGTCCATGCACAGGCCCGGACTTGCCATTCATCATTAAAAACCACCCAGTGCAGGCAACGTTCCACTTAAATCGGGCGTTCCTAAGCACCCTCGACCCCCACTTCATCTTTTCTCCCGCTTACAACTCCATTACACAGAAATCCCCCTCCTCCGGCAACTTACATAATTACGGCACCGACTTCTTCTGCGCCTCTTGCGCCCTCTTCTCCCACTCGGCTTTCCGCTGGTTGAAGTTCTTCCTCTCCGTGAGCAGCTCCTCGCTGATGAAGTCGCTCTTCGGCGAGATCCCCGTGATGATTTCGTCCTGCGAAATCTTCCTCTCGATCAAATCGTCGCCGTTCTTCATGTTCGTTATCCAGTTATCCGTGATCCTCCTCTCGTTGAAGCTGCTCTGCTTCTTCACTTTGCTCTCGTCGCAGACCTTGGGCGGGTTGAGGCTGAACGCCCTCGCGTAGACGTTGTTGGGTTTGCGCAGCGTCACCTCGGCGACCTCGATGAACTTGCGTTCGTTGACGGAGTCCTTGATTTTGGGTTCCTTGAGGGTTTCGGTGAGAGGTTCGCGTGGTTCGGCAGTGTCGAGTTTTGATTCGTTCGTGGATGACCTGCGACGTTCCTCCTGAGGGGAGTCGGCTTGGTTTTCTTTGTCGCTGTCGCGGGTTTTGGCGTCTTCGAAGGCGGCTGCGACTTGTTGACTGATGGCTTCGCTTTCGGTGTCTTTGAGCTTGAGGGAGCGCCGCGCGAAGACTTTCATAAGTTCGGGCTCTTCGTCGTTCTTTTGCTTGATTAAGGATTTTTTGCGGAGGACGACGGGTTCGGCGACTGATGTGGTTTTCTCTCGGAGGGGAGCGTCGCTTGATTTTTCCTCGATTTTGTCTATGCTGTCTTGGGAAGACTTGTCGGAGCTTTCGGGTTCGCCTTTGAGGGAGTCTAGACTGACGGAGCGGCTGCGCAGGATGCGTTGGTCGCTGCTGGGGGAATCTGGGGTGGTCGAGCTCGTCGACGATTTCCTCTTGGTTTCGTTTTTCTTGAATCGCGGCTGGATGACAACCGTCACCGACGAGGTCGACGTGCGATCTTCTTCGTTCTTTTCCACGATTTCTATGTCTTCTTGACTGAACTTGCGAGGGACGTTTTTGGCGGGCTCTGGAACCGCGAAGACGGGTTTCGGGCGACTTTGCTCGTCTACGATTCTAGGGGAAGAGCTGGTGGAGAAGACAACGTTGCTTGTGGGTTTAGCTTCCACTTTGTTTAGTTGTCGGTTTAAGAATTCGGGGACTGCGTTCTTAGGGACGCTTACGGTGCTCTGGGTGATCTGCGTCGACTCTCGTTTGAGTTGGATCTTGGTGACAGACACCGCCTCTCTCGTGGTAACTTCTTTGACTTTGTCCCCGGAGGTCACAGTTTCGCTTTTTGTGTTGGTGGTGGTGTACGCATCCGTGGACTGACTTGACACGCTGACGACGGCGGTGTGGCTGGGGCCCGATATGGTGATGTTGTTCACGTCGTTGAAAATCTCGGCTGCTAGGTCGAAATTCGCAACTACAGGTTCTTTAAATTCTTCAACCACCGGCTTAGTCGCCCCTTCGCCGTCACGCTTAACCGGCTCCAGGCTATCGAACGACGCCGCCTTCAACACCGGCGGCTTCGTGCTTTCATTTCCACGCTCCGCCGTCTTGAAGCTCTGCGACTTCGCCACCGGCTGCGGCTTCCGCTCCGCCTCTTCGTTCGGAAGATCACTCAACGACTTGAACCCCCCGTCGTCCAACTCGTCTCCGATGATCATCACCTTCTGCTGCAGCGACGATAATCCCGCTATCTTCATCCGGCTTTTACTGTCCCTTCTAACTTCTACTTTTATCACAGACGGCGTCTCGCCTTGCCGCCCCCCGGGCGACTGCGGCGGCGTCAGACTAGCACTCATTTGCCTCTGCCTGAACCTGGTCTCGAGTTCGGCTTGCAGCGGCGAGCTGCCCAAGGTCTTCTCCGGCGAGGGCTTGGGCAGCACGCAGTCGGGCTCGCGCTTGTGCGGCTCCGGCGACGGCGGCAGGTCGATCGGTTGGATCCGCTGGCGCGAGGCCGCCCCCGAGCGCGGCGCCGCCACCGGCTTCGATTCCACGCGCTTGGCGGGCTGCAGCGGTGGTTTATCCTCCTTCGACTTGCGCTTCTTGGCGCTCCTCCGCGGGAAGATGCGCTCGAAGAACGACTTGTCGGAGCGCTCCTCCTTCTCGCCGTCCTCCTCCACGGCGGCGAACTGCTCCTGCGACTTGCTGCCGGCGTTCGAACGGCTGCGGTTCAGCTTGGAGGCGGCGGCGGCGGCGTCGGGCGGGACTAGACCGGGAGGAAGAGAAGAGCATTTTAGTTGGGTCTCGGTGAGGGCCGGTTTCGTGCTCATGCTGGGGGGCTCGGGCTGGGCGGTTTCTGCAAAAGAGGACATGCCATGCGTCAGCGAGCGATCGGCGGGGGCGGTTAGGTTAGAGGCTGCTTGTATGCGATAAGGGAGAAGCAATAGCGACATAGCATGCTGGGTTAGTTAAGCTTTTGTTTTAATTGTGGCGGCGAAGGTCACGAGGATTTTAGACTCGTATTGGCACCACCTGTTGATTGCGTCAATGCTATTTTTGGTCGTAATTTAACACAATTAGAAAATTGGAAAATAGCAATCTAGGAATCGTTCATGGATCAGGGCCATATTTTGGTCTTTTGTTAACTGAAGAAATATTTTAACCATGACCAACACCACTTATATGAAGTAACCACGGATTAATCGCAACAGATGGTGCCACCTACACTGTCTAGAAAACCAATAAATAGCACCCGCAATCTATTCATAAGCCCATCATTGGCTTTTCAAGCATTATTTTTAATAAACGCTAAATTCGAATAATTTAGATTTTTGGCAAAATTTAATGATTCATAATATGCTCTCTGAGAGAATTATTACCGGAAAAAAATCGGTCCACGCTCCGCATGAAATTAGAATTCTCAAACAAAGGATTACACGGTTTTTAAAATCGCACTTCTAACTCGAATCTCTTGTTCCGTCTTCCAAATTAAGCGAAACTTTCGGACACGGATTTAATTCTCATCTAAGCATGTCAATGAACCTTAAACAAATAAATTGATCGAGTTTATTCATTTACGGCATAGCTCAGATAAATTTACTGCTTTTATTAATTTAGACGCTGATTAAATTATTTGTTGAATTAACATCGTCTGCATTTAATATGGACATTAATATTATAACCGAAATCCTTATTTATTCGATTTGGAGCGATTAAACCGGTATGACACCTGTCTTGTTACGCCACTGTGCTACTGGATCTTCCACCTCGTCCGAAGAAACCAGTATGCGACGAAGACATTAATTTCAAGTACGCAATATTGAATTCCAGACATTTCTTTTTCACGATTTTGTCAGCTCTGCATAAATTTCGAATTCTTTAGCTTTGAAGTCTAGATTAAAGAGCTGATTTTTTGCTGCGGAGTTTTTTCGCGCATTTTTTGCATCTCTACGGTTGGTAACACGTGAAAAAGTGGTGAATTAAAATTTCTTTTGTTGACGTAACCGGATTCTTCAAATTTGGAATTCAGATTTGTATCAGAGTTAGCGATGTTATAAAAATGTAGTTCTTGTTGTTTTGACATAAATTCGACATTTACATCTTACTTCTGGATGTTGCCAATTTTGATTTACGGCTGGCTGTGGTTAATACAATTATTATTTCTCAGGATATGGCCAACTAAGATCTGACGTCCGTTGCGCTTCCTACCTGGATATTTGATCGATTCCGGTAACCTCAAAACTTTGTTGGGTAAGTAGCGCTATCTACTGTAATTTTTTTAACGAATTTTGTCAGTTTTGAAAAATAGATGAAAGCTATTCAAAATTTTTGTGGTATTTATACACACATAAGAAAAACAGATAATTATAATAGCAGAAATAATAATTAAATGTAACACTGAAAAATTGAAAAATTTAAAAATCGACAAATGGAAAAATCGAAAAGTCGAGAAATCGAAAAACTGAGAAATCTAAAAGTCCAAAATTTACAAATCGAACGATTAAAATATCGGAAAATTAAAGAATCCAAAAACTGAAAAATCGAAAAATTGAAAAATTTCAAAACTGAGTTGATGAAAAATTGGGAAATAGAAAAACTGAAAAATTGGAACCCCAAAAAATCGAAAAAATAAGAGATTTAGAAATGGAAATTGCTCCAAATCGAACAGTAAAAATCGAAAACTTAAACAATCGAAATTTTGATAAACCGCGAAATCGAAAACTCGAAATATTGAAAAATTCCGTAACTGAGATATCGAAAAATCGAGAAATGGAAACATCATAAAATCGAAAAATTGAAGAAAAGAAATATTGAAAATTTCCATAACTGAAGAACCGAAAAACTGAAGAACCGAAAAACTGAAAAATCGAGATATTGAAAAGTCGAAACACCTGTCTGAAGAATTGGGAGAGTGAAAATTCGAAAAATTGAAAAATTCAAACACTGAAATATAGAAGAATCGAGAAATAGAAAAATCGAAAAATCGAAAAACTCCGAAAATTCACAATACGTGTTGAATAATTGATAAATCGAAACCTTGGAAAATTGGGAAATTTAAAAATCGGTGTTGAAAAACAAAAATAAAAAAATCGAAAAATTGAACCATCTGAAAAAAATTGAAAAATTTCAAAACTGAAGCATTGAAAACTTGAAGAATTGAGAAAACAAAAAGTTGAAAAATGATAAAACCAAAATTTAAAAATCGGGAAATCGAAAAATTGAAGAATCGAAATATTGAAAAATCCCTAAATTGGAATATCGAAAAATTGAAAAATTGAGAAATCGAAAATTTAAAATATCGAAAATCCGAAAAATCGAAAAGCTGAGAAATCGAAAATAGAAAAATCGAAAAATTAACAACTCATAAAACTGAAACATCGGAAATTTGAGGAATCGAAGAGGAAAAATCGGGAACGTGGAGATTCGAAAAAGTGAAAAATTCCAAGACTGAAATATCGAAAAATCGACAAATTGAAAAATCGCAAAATTGAAGAAATAAAAAACTGAAAAATCCTAAAACCGAAATATCAAAAAATTGAAAAATCTAAAATTCAAAAAATCGTTATTAAACCGAAAAATCAAAAATTTTAAAATTCGAAAAATTAAAACAAATATCAAAGAAATAAAAAATCGAAAGTTCAAGTAAAAATCTAAAATTTAACAAATTGAAAAACAAAAATATCGACAAATTGATCATAAAGTCGAAAAATTGAAAAATATAAATATTTTAAAGCGAAAATCTGAAGATCCGTAAAACAAAAAACCGGAAAATGGAAAAATTGAAAAACCGAGAAATCGAGAAGTCAACTAATCGAAAAATCGAAAAACTGAAAAATCGAAAAATCAAAAAATTGAAAAATTTAAAATTTAAAAATTCGAAAAATTGGAAACCAAACATCAAGGAACTGAAAAATGGAAAAATTGGAAATTTTAAAAACTGAAACATTAAAATTTCCAAAAATTCATAAATCAATCGAAAAGACGAAATTTGAGGAATCAAAATATCGAAAAATCCCAAATCTTGAGAGAATTTTGTGAGTTTTGAAAAATGGATGAAAGTTATTCAAGATTTTTGTGGTTTTTATACACACATAACAAAAATAGATAGTATAATAACAAAAAATAATAATTGACACTGAAAATTTGAAAAATTTTAAAATCGACAAATGGAAAAATTGATAAGCAGAAAAGTCGAAAAATCGAAAAATTAAAGAATTCAAAAACTGAAAAATCGGAAAATCGAAAAACCGAAAATAAAAAAATCGAGACATCCAAAAATTGAAAAACTAAAACAGAGGAATGAAACACCAAAATATCGAGCAATCCAGAAGTCGAAAAATCGAAATTGCCCAAAATCGAAAAGTTAAACAATCGAAATTTCGATAAATCTAAATTTAATTTCTCAATTTTTAAATTGTCAATGTTCAATATTTCGATTTTTTGATGTTTTAATTTCTGGATTTCAATCGAAATAATGAAAAATTCTAAAACTTTAGATATCGAAGAATCCAGAAATTAAAACATCAAAAAATCCAAAAATTGAAAACTGAAAATTTAAAAATTGAGAAATTAAAAAATCGAAAAATTGAAATATTGAAAAATCCCAAAACTGAAGAATCGAAAAATTGAGAAATCGAAAAATTGAAGTCGGAAAATCGAAAATTTAAGATATCGAAAAACCCGTCTGAAGAATTGGGAAAGTGAAAATTCCAAAAATTGAAAAATTCCGAAAATTCACATGTTGAAAAATTGAGAAGTCGAAACCTTGAAAAGTTAGGAAATCAAAAAGTTGAAAAATATTAAAATCAAAGAACTGGAGTATCAAGAAATCGAAATATCAAAAAATCGAAAAACTGAAAAATCGTTAAAACCGGAAAATCAAAAATTTTAAAATTCGAAAAATTAAAACAAATAAATATCAAAAAACTGAAAAATCTAAAATTTAACAAACTGAAAAACGAAAATATCGACAATTCGAAGAATTATAAAGCCTAAACATTGAAAAATCCAGAATTTAAAAAAGCGAAAATTTGAAGATTCCAAAAACTGAAAAACTGGAAAATTGAAAAGTTGGAAAACCGAAAAACGAAACATCAAAAGATCGAAAAATCAAGAAATCGAGAAGTCAAAAATCGAAAAGTTAAAAATTGAAAAATCGAATACCTCAGAAAATTTTAAAAATAGAGAAATTAAAAAACTGAAAAATCTAAAACTGAGAAGTAGGAAAATCTAAAGATCGAGAAATCAAAAAACATCAAAAATTGTAAATCTAATATTTAAAAATTCCAAAATTGGAAAATCGAAAAATCGGAAGTCAAAAAATTGAAACTTCCAACAATTGAAAAACCAACACAGAGAAATGAAACAGCAAAATGTCGAGAAATGCAGAAGTCGAAAGATTTAGAAATCGAAACTGCCCAAAATCGAAAAGTTAAAATTAAAAATTTTAAATAAAAAAAAAATTAGAAAGAATTGAAAAAAATTCAAAAATTAAACAATCGAAATTTCGATAAATCGAGAAATGGAAATATTGAAAAATTCCAAAACTGAAGAATCGAAAAATTGAAAAAACGAGAAACCGAAAAATTGAAGTTGAAAAATCGAAAATTTAAAATATCCAAAAAACAAAAAGTCGATTGATCCAGAAATTGAGAAATCGAAAAACCCGTCTGAAGAATTGAGAACGTGAAAATTCGAAAAACTGAAAAACTAACATTGAAGTATCGAAAAATCGAAAAAATGAAAAATTACGAAATTTAAAAACAGGAAAGTTGAAAAATACTAAAATCACAAAACTTAAGTGTCAAGAAATCGAAATATCAAAAAATCGAAAATTCGAGCAAAAAACTAAAATTTAACAAATTGAAATACTAAAATATCGACAAATTGAAGAATAATTTAGTCGAAAAATTGAAAAATCCAAAATTTAAAAAAGCGAAAAACTTGAAAATCGAAATGTTGAAAAACTGAGAAACGAAACATCAAAAGATCGAAAAATCAAGAAATCGACAAGCCAAAAAATAGAAAAGTTAAAAATTGAGAAGAAAGGAAAATAGAAAGATCGAAAAATCAAAAAACATCAAAAATTGTAAATCTAATATTTAAAAATTCGAAAATTGGAAGATCGGAAGTCAAAAAATTGAAACTTCCAACAATTGAAAAACCAACACAGAAATGAAACACCAAAATGTCGAGAAATGCAGAAGTCGAAAGATTTAGAAATCGAAATTGCCTAAAACCGAAAAGTTAAAATTAAAAATTTTAAATAAAAAAAAAATAGAAAGAACTGAAAAAAATACAAAAATTAAACAATCGAAATTTCGATAAATCGAGAAACCGAAAAATTGAAGTTGAAAAATCGAAAATTTAAAATATCCGAAAACCAAAAAGTCGATTGATCCAGAAATAGAGAAATCGAAAAACTCGTCTGAAGAATTGGAAAAGTGAAAATTCGAAAAACTGGAAAACTCCAACATTGAAATATCGAAAAATCGAAAAAATGAAAAATTGAGAAATCGAAACCTTGAAAAATTGGGAAATATTAAAATAGGAAAGTTGAAAAATATTAAAATCGCAAAATCGAAGTGTCTAGAAATCGAAATATCAAAAAATCGTTAAACCGAAAAATCAAAAATTTTAAAATTCGAAAAATTAAAACAAATATCAAAGAACTGAAAAATCGAAAATTCGACCAAAAATCTGAAATTTATCAAATTGAAACACTAAAAATCGATAAATTGAAAAATCCAAAATTTAAAAAAGCGAAAATTTGAAGATTCGAAAAACTGAAAAACTTGAAAATCGACACGTTAAAAAACTGAGAAACGAAACATCAAAAGATTGAAAAATCAAGAAATCGACAGTCAAAAAATTTCAAAAAAATTAACAATCGAGACATCGAAATCTAGAACCGAAATAACGAAATCTAGATAAATAATGGAAGATCGAGGAATCAAGACAACAAAAAAGTGAAAAATCTAAAATTTAAAAATTCAAAAAACTAACATCGAAGAACTGAAAAATCGAAAACTAAAAATTTTAAAAACTGAAACATCAAAATATCGAAAAATCCCAAATCTGGAGAAGAGAATTTTGAAAAATGGATGAAAACTATTCAAAATTTTTGTGGTCATTATACACACATAAGAAAAATAGATAATTATTGTAACAAAAAATAAATATTATACTTATATAGGTGACACTAGTGTTGTTTCTAGTCCACTACACCAGTAATACCAACCGTAGAACGTTAACCAAAGCCAACTCCGACTCGGCATGTTTTCGGTCGCGCAGTAGCACACAAAATTAAAAGCGCCATAGCCCCACACCGTTTTTAGCCTCTACCCAGTATTATTAAAAAAAAAAACACACACCACAACCAACGTCTACTTCCTCAACCAACTACCCACAGAATCCACGCTTTTACAAACATTCACCAACGAAACAAAGTCTGAGAACAGCATTGAAATCGTTGCGTAACGGTTAATTAAAAAAAAACACACAAACGACAAACAATCAAAGAGAAAAAAAACTACCTACCTCTCGAAATGTTCTCCGGCGTCACACTCCTTATCGATGACTCTTCATTGACTTCCGGTGTGGTTGGCAGCGCGTTCGACAGCTACACGAAAAATCTATTTATCGAAATCCAATCAAGAAATCCCACAGACCTACCTGAGGCACTCTCTTGTTTCTATGTGGAGCACGTCTCTTGGGCCTCACCGACACCCTGTGATGGGCAGCGCTGTGATTCAGCGGCGTCGACGACGAACTCGGCCCTAGCTCGAAATCGGAATCTGAAACACCGGATTTAGAAAAAGCGGTGGCGGCGGGGGCGGCTACCTTGATCCGAGGAGCGCTTCTCCTGCAGAGAGAGCTTCGACGAGTGGCGCGACTGACTAAAGGACTCCTAGGGTTACAAAAACGTGATCAGTTAACGTTCAAAAACTAAAACTCAATTCGTACCTCGTCCATCTCGGAGCTGCCCATGCTGAGCAGCGACCCATCGCTGCACGTGCTGTGGGACTTCGTGGGGAGATCCTGCAACAACGGTAGCAATAAGAACGGCGTCGTTAGCGTCGCGGCGCCTCCGTCGCCTTTTACCCTCTGTGCGTCATCGTAGGGCAAAAAAATTCGGATGCCGTTAATCCAGGGCAGGTTCGTGTTGAAGCATTGTCGCGTCGAACAAAACATCGTTTTCAGGAAACATCACACGGGCGTTTATCGGAGTCGCGAATCCGCCGATTCTATTCAGCGTCGAGCTCGAAACTGCACGTACTTTCTACAGGTAAACAATGTTTGGATCCCTCCATGTTGCGATAGCAATTATGCGACTGGCTATTATGTAACGAGCGGGACTTTCGACTGAATCCTCCGGTTTCATTTCCTCTAATGCAGAATGTGACCTAAATCTCCTTCGGAGAGTAAATAGGTGACGTATTCGGGACGATTGTTTCGCGTCGGGGGGCGGCGGATTATCTGCGGGCGGCAGACGCTCGAGGGATGCCGGATTTTAAATTGGATTAGGGGGGGATAAGACGTATTCGTTATCGGATTTAATTGACGAATCTATACGGAGTGGGTGGGAACGTCGGATGTTAATTCGAGGCTGCTTTATTAAAGCGACCAGGAAACGTAAAAATTAGATGGGGCTATAAATCGCAGAGTCGAGTTACGCAAAAATTAACATGCTCTAATTTTATTTATTTGCTTACGTAAAGTGATAAAATGGCGCAATTTTAATTCGCTGAAGTGTTGTGACCGTTTTCATTAAAATGAGGATTTTTAATTGCGTTTTTTGTACGAAATAACCAACCCAATTTGCGCGCCGCACTACACCTAATTATATTCTTGTTTAATTAATTTCAAGCAAAACGTTACTCCCGAAATATAAAAGCGAATTTATAAAGTGACCTCGGATTGAGCAATCGGGGCCGAGATCTCCACAAATGTTAGACGTCGCGTTGCGGTCTCAAAATTTTCCACCTAATGAAAAATTACCCGTGCCATTCATTAAATACATACAGTAGTAGTATTAATTTATTATTTGCCAAGTACGAAAAACAAGAGAGAAAAAACCAAAGAAAAGAAATAGAAAAAAGAATATGGGATGCAGGAGGAATTCAAAGATACAGAAGCTACGGAAAAAAGAAAGATATACATATGGCAAGGGAGGAATAATGGATGGAACGGAGAATGTAGTGAGTTCGTCGCCTGAGAACTTGTTTGATCTACAGACCAGAGCGCGCTCAGGCCAATGTGGACTCTAAGGGTTCACAAGCGATTTGATTGGTTTGGACTATAATTTCTGCGGGAAATATATAGTTGTTGTACATATTTAAATGATTTTACATATTTTGTTTAACTAAGAATTAATTCTTTATTTGTGTTTTATACTTAGAATTTTTTCCGGGAAAATGTTTTGGAAACACTGTGTTCTATTTTGTATGAATTTTTAAATGTTTTTAGTGACAATTTTTGTGGAAATAGGCCAACAATCGAAAAATCGAAAAGTTAAAAATTGAACAATTTATAAATTGAGAAAATGACAATCAAAATATGGAAAAATCCAAATTTCGATAAATCGAGAAATCAAAAAACTTAAAAATTCGAATAATTGAGAGATTGAAAGATCAAAAGAACGAGAAATCGAAAAGTGATGAAGTCGAAAAATCGAAAAATAGAAAAATCGACAAACAAAAAGTTAAAAGTTGAAATATTGGAAAAGCGGAAAAATCAAAAAACCAAAAAATGTAAAACGAAAAACTGAGAAACCGAAATAGGCCAAAATAAAAAATTGAAAAACTGATAAATCGAAAAACCTGAACAATCAAATCTCGATAAATCGGGAAAGAAAAATTAATAAATCGAGAAATTGAAACAGAAGCTCTAAAACCAGGAAGACGAAAAATCGAAAGATTAAGAAAAATTGAAAAATTAAAATATCAAAAGATTGAAAAATCTAAAATTTTAAAATCCAAAAATTGAAAAATCGAAAAAGTAAAAAGGTAGACACATTGAAAAATCCAGAAGTCAAAAATAGAAAAGTCGAAGAAATAAAAAACTAAAAAATCCAAAAAACAAAAAAGTGAAGTGGAAAAATAGAAACCTTAAAAAAACAAAAATTGAAAAATCAAGAACCTGAAAAATCAAAAAATTGAGAGTTTATGGGAGTCAAATTTGAAAAATTAAAAAATCGAAAATTTGACAAAATGACAATTTAAAAGCAGAAAATCTAAAACCGGTAAGTTGAAAATCAAAAGATTAAGAAATTCAAAAACTTGAAAAATTCAAATATCGAAGAACTGAACTGAAAAATCGAGAAATCGAAAAAGCTAAAATTTTAAAAATTAAAAAATCTAAAATTTCAAAATCGAAAAATTAAAATAATCGACACATCGAAAAATCCAGGAGTCAAAAATCAAAAAGTTGAAGAATCGAAGTATTGAAAAATTCCATAACTGAGATATCGAAAAACTGAAAAATGAGAGAAAAACTGAAAAATGAAAAACCTGAAAAATCCTAAAACTGAGAACCTAAAAAGTCGAAAAAATGAGCAATCGAAAAATCCAAAAAGTGAAGTCGAAAAATCGAAAGCTTAAAACTAAAAAATGAATTCGAAAAATGAAAGAAATGAAGAACAGGAATACCGAAGCCCTCGAAAGTCGTGAAATCGGAAAATCAAAATATCGATTAATTGAAAAATCGAAATTTTGAAAAAACGACAATTGGAAAACAGATGATCTAAAACCGGGAAGTCGAAAAATCGATAGATTAAGAAATCAAAACATTTGAAAAATTCGAAAACTGAAAAACGGAAATATCGAAGAACTGAAATAAAACATCGAGAAATCGAAAAATCTAAAATTTTAAATATTGAAAAATTAAAAAATCAAAAAACTGAAAAATCTAAAATTTAAAAATCGAAAAATTGAAAAACGACAATTGAAAAACAGAAAATCTAAAACCTGAAAGTCGAAAACTCAAAAGATTAAGAAATCGAAACATTTGAAAAATTCGAAAATTTGAAAAATTCATATACCGAAGAACCATACTGAAAAACCGAGAAATCGAAAAATCTAAAATTTTAAAAATTAAAAAATCTAAAATTTAAAAATCGAAAAATTGAAAAATCGAAAAAGTAAAATAATCGACACATCGAAAAATCCAAGAGTCGAAAATCAAAAAGTCGAAGAATCGAAATATTGAAAAATGCCAAAACTGAGATATCGAAAAACTGAAAAATGAAAGAAAAACTTAAAAATAGAAAACCTGAAAAATCCGAAAACTGAAATATCCAAAAACTGAGAACCTAAAAGATCGAAAAATCCAAAAAGTGAAGTCGAAAAATCGAAACCTTAAAAAAACTAAAAAATGAAAAATTGAAAAATTAAAGAAATGAAGAACAGGTATATCGAAGTCTTCGAAAGTAAAATTTGAAAACATTTGAAAAATTCGAAAACTGAAAAACGGAAATATCGAAGAACTGAAATAAAACATCGAGAAATCGAAAAATCGAAAATTTTAAATATTGAAAAATTAAGAATACCAAAAAATTGAGAAATTAAAATTTAGAAATCAAAAAAGTAAAAAGTCGACACATCGAAAAATCCAGAAGTCAAAAATGGAAAAGTCGAAGAACAGAAATATTGAAAAATTCCAAAACTGAAATATCGAAAAACTGAAAAATTAAAGAAAAAATCGCAAAATTGAAAAATATTAAAATCGAAAAACCGGAGTGTCAAGAAACTGAAACATCAAAAAATGGAAAAACTGAAAAATTGTGAAACCGAAAAATCCAAAAATTTTAAAATTCAAAAAATTAAAACAAATATCAAAGAACTTAAAAATCGAAAATTCGAGAAAAAATCTAAAATTTAACAAACTGAAAAACTAAAATATGGACAAATTGAAGAATCCAAAATTGAAAAACCCAGAAATCTAAAAAAGCGAATATTTGAAAATTCTAAAAACTGCAAAACTGAAAAATCGAAAAGTTAAAAAACCGAGAAACGAAAAAAAAGATCGAAAAACTGAAGTGTCCAAAAATTTTAAAATTGAAAAATCGAATATTTAATAAAAAATTGTAAAAATAGAAAAACTAAAAAACCGAAGAATTTAAAACTGAGAAGTCGGAAAATCGAAAGATCAAGAAATCAAAAAACATTAAAAATTGAAAAACATAAAATTCAAAAATTCGAAAAATTGAATAAATCGAGAAAATAAACAATCGAAACATCGAAATCTGGATAAATCGAAAAATCTAAATCTAAGAAGTCGAAAGATGGAAGATCGAAAAATCGAAACATCAAAAAATTATTGAAAAATCTAAAATTTAAAAATTCGAAAAATTGGAAAACAAACATCATAGAACTGAAAAACGGAAAAATAAAAAATTTAAAAAACTGAAACATTAAAATATCGAAAAATTGATAAACCGGGAAATCGAAAAGTCGAAAATATCGAAAAATTGATAAACCGAGAAATCGAAAAGTCGAAAATTTTAAAAAATCGAAAAATCCAAATCTGGACAAGAGAATTTTGTCACTTTTGAAAAAAGAATGAAAGCTATTCAAAATTTTCGCTGTATTTATACACACATAAGAAAAACAAATGATCATAATAACAAAAAATAATAATTATATATAAGTGACACTGAAAAATTGAAAAATTTTAAAATTGACAAATGGAAAACTCGATAAGCCGAAAAGTCGAAAAATCGAAATATTAAAGTATCCAAAAACTGAAAAATCGGAACTTCGAAAATTGGAAAATCGAAAACCGAAAGTAAAAAAATTGACATTCGAAAATTGAAAAACTAAATGAAACACCAAAATATCGAGCAATCGAGAAGTCGAAACAACGAAACATCTTGAAATCGAAAAGTCAAAATTAGAAATTTTAAATAAAAAAAAAAAAATCGAAAAATTTGAAAAAAATCGAAAAATTAAACAATCGAAATTTCGATAAATCGAGAAATTGAAATATTGAAAAATCCCAAAACTGATGAATCGAAAACTTGAAAAATCGAGAAATCGATA